GGGAATGGGGGAATACGGGAATGCGGGAATACGGGAATGCGGAAATGGGGGAATATGGGAATGCGGGAATGGGGGAATACGGGAATGGGGGAATACGGAAATGGGGGAATATGGGAATGCGGGAATGGGGAATGCGGAAATGCGGGAATGCGGGAATGGGGGAATGAGAAATCTAGGTTAATTAATGATTTTTTTCTTAAAATTTCTAGGCTGTCGTCAGCCAGAGAAAGATATAAATACCTGGTGAAAGGATATCAATTGTATTGCAATTACTCTTTATTTATTAATAATAATATTATAAAGTGGATATAATTTAATTGTATATTGCAATATGCAGCATATTTACAATTATTGTACATATTTAAGACTTATAAACCATGTCTAAAAGCATCGATAAGACATCGATAAAACTTCATGAACTATGTTGACTGTCGTTTGAAAAGTAGATTTTCAAATTTAATATTAGTTTTTGACGTTACTGTTTTAGTTGTATTCAAGTTTAAACAATTATATTTTCCTTGAATGATATTATAATAATGCTACAGAGTGATATACCCATTTACTAATACACAATATAATATTAAAAACACTAAAATTCGTATAGATTTTTATAATTTACCGTTTTAAACCTTTATATTTATAAAACACTACGGCTATGAATATTGCTTCCACCGTATTTCAATTATTTTCTACTTGTTCTCAAAATGCTCTGTATACTCTTGAAGCTTTTGCTTTATCTTGTTTTCACGAAGCCTGTTCGTCTTTGTATTTTGTCTTTTGTTCGTCTTTTAATCATCAAAGTGACTAGCTATATGACAGCAGCCGGTCACGATTTATATGGCCGGCAGTTTTAATTTAATAAATTAATCATATTGTCCATATTTTCATCGCAACTTCGTCCGTATTTTATACGTACGTGGTTTGCTATTCGTACGTGAAAATTTTTGTAAAATAAGCTGACCACATGTACAACCACCAACCTTTCTCTATTCCTAAGCAATTCTAGATGTCTAATTAACAATTTGAGAGTTTACAAATGTTGGGAAAAAAGTTTAACGGTCTTTAACAACTTGAAAGTGAAACAGAGAACCGGCGGCCAAAACTAAACCGGACCCGACCCAACCTCGTACCCAGGCTCTTACCTTCGCACGCCCCAAGCTGCGGAAAGACCCTGGTGCCGGCTGGTCACGTGGCTCCCAGATTCTGGGTGCTAAAATAAATTGCTATTCAGGGAGGGGTGGTAGAAATGATTTGTACGTATTGAAATTGTTTCTGAATTTGTAAAATAGTAAAATTCTAACTGTACGAGACAATAATAAAAGATTTTTTCTTGAAGAAATGTTAAAACAACACTGATTAATCATGTGTTGCAGCCGAAAGAGTATCATATTACTCTCCAGGATTACAAATATCTCATGTTTCACTGTCACTATATCGGCTTAGCAAAAGCACGCCAAAGAAATTTTACAAAAAGATCTCCTGGATCAACTGATCAACTAGTTTTCGTTGTCGATTATATAATGGTGTACAAGATCAGATACATCGTAAGAATCTCTTCAACAAAACAAATTAAAGAATTTTGATTAACACGGAGTTGATTCATGGCGAGAGACTGCCGCATGTTGATGATTTTCCTTATTTGATCTGCCGATCGAGTGCCGTCCTTGTGAACGACGTTCAAGAATGTAATTTCCGAAACACAGAAATCATTAGTAAAAGATTCACGATCCAAGCGATGCCCTGAAGTTTTTCTATCCGTTGCCAGATCTTCGGCAAATGTTGCTGCAGTTGAAAGTCGAAGCCGCAGTTTGGCTTTTACACTTAACTGACTTTGTCAATGTGTCCTCCTCGAGTGATGAAACTAGATCTGCTACTCCTTTACCCATGCCAACAGAAGTAAGTCAATTGTTTATGAATATCATCTACCAATATACTTTACCGCAATTAATAAATATAGTCATCCGTATACGTATGTTAGTAATCCCCATTTAAACCCAAAATGTGCAATCCAATTGTGATTTCTCCATGGAATATTTTTTTTCGAATATTTATAGAATGGCAGACGCGCGAAGGCCGAAGGCCACTTGATTTCAGTCGAGATATTTGATCTTGTATCAGTGAATTCAAGGGAGACACAACTATAACAATACACGAACCGTCCTGAGTAGATATCTCAAATGATTTCCATGGAGAAAGAAAATCGACTTGTTTATTAAATATGATCCCTTGCAAACAACAACAATGGGTCAGATGAAAATCAGAGACTTTCCATATAAAGCGTTGCGTTGGCAGGATACAAATTATATAAATAACATCTTTTGTCGAATAAATAATATATGTTTAAGTACATTTAAGAGTTTGTTAAGGCCCGTTTACACGGGCAAATTGAATGTCAAAGATATTCTGCTCGTGTAGATGATAAATTTGTGACAAATTTATTGTGACAAATGCATTTGAACAAAAGCTAGCAAGCTAGCATGCTAGCTTTTGATCATTTGCATTTGATCAAATGAAATTTGTCAAAATAAAATTTGCTCGTGTGCTTTACGACAGTATTATTTGAAAGCCCTGTACAGTTGTTTTGATGCAGGACCCAAGAACACGGAGATCTGTATGTTTAAATTGCAACTCTTGTCGAAGTTTGAACACAATGTTATCAATCGTGTAAAACCTGGCGAAATTGAATAAATAAATAAATAAATACTTTCTAAACAAAGAACTTGCTTAGTTGGTTCGTCTTCAGTACAGTATGTTGTTATGAAATGCACTATTTAGAACAACGAATTCCAAACAAGCAAGAAATGCAATGAAACTCGAGCATCTCCGTTCGAGTCTCCGTTGAAATTATCAACTTTGCTTCTATGGCCTGGCTGCATGTGAATGACAAAAAGAACACAAACGCGCGCATAATTGTCAACTTGACACGAAGTATTCAATACAAATTATACAATAACAAATTGCGATACAAAGTGCTCTCAAATTACACTTTTTGCAATTCAAACCAATACGTCCGCTCCTTGCCAACGAATTTTACTATTGGAAAGTGGAAGCATTGTAATTTAGATTTGTCCATCCCTCCCTTGGTAATTTAATATCCTGGGAGCCACGTGACCAGCCGGCACCAGGGTCTTTCCGCAGCTTGGGGCGTGCGAAGGTAAGAGCCTGGGTACGAGGTTGGACCCGACCTCGCTTCACTTTGCACGCACGAGACGCCTCTGTGCGATACGCTACATGCTAACTCGTTTGGAGAACCTGCAAAAATATTTTATATTACTAATTTTAATATAGTATTTGTAAATTCTGAACGCTGATTGCTTATAAAGAGCCATCTGGATAACTGAATATCAACCAGTCATATCAAGACGGAAAATTTCTTTCTTTATATTGTTTGTGCTGTATTATTAATAAAAAATGTATTAAAAGTGTATATCAGTGATATCAACACGGAAAATGTTTGGTATTTATTACTGAATAAGAAATGGAAGATTCGTAATGTATCTACTCTGTGCCCGTATGAATATTAAATAGCCCCTATGTTTTGAAAAAAATCAAAAATGCTTCAGTTGCAAGATGACAGTTATAAAATCGCTGACGTTTTTATTAAAATACGAATTATTTGTCTTAGCAGATTATGGCTTATTCAATTATTTTAATTAAGAAAATCAGTTAAACTCCCTACTGGAATTTGTTAAGCTATACATAGTTTAAAAAATTTTTATAAGGAATTCGAAAGATAAGTACTAAGTAAAACCTTAAGTATCCGAAATTTATTTGCAAAAATGAGTTGTTTTATAGAAAGCTCTCATCACTTGACACTTATGTATTCATAACGATTAAATATTAATCCTTTGCCCGGAATTAAGGAATAGGCCTGATACGCAGGTTTATAGAGCATGTCAATCACATGTCTAGTTCCCGCGCAAAACAGGCCAAGACAAGGCAATTTCCTCGTCGCCATTATGGCAGCGTTGTTCAAGCTTCCCTCGCTAAAAAAGAAAGAAAAAAAGAGTTCGATGCTCCCAACCTTTAACTGGGCGACTTTTCAAAAAGAGAAAAAAATTGGCAGTGGAACTTTTGGCTCAGTTTACATGGGAAAATGCGTTGACCGGGATGAAAAGGTCGTAGTGAAAAAAGTAAAAAGCGATTCGTATGATTCCAAAGCTCTTTGTCGAAAAGCAGCAGCATTGCTAAATGAAACCCAAGGTCATCGAAATATCATCAAATTTCTAGGTTTTTGCGATGAACCATATGCCATTATGATGGAACACTCAAACTTTGATTTTCAACCATTTGGTATGGAAAAAACAGTTAGCAATTTGGAAGACTTTTTTCATTTTGTCGATGAGGAATATGAATTTCATTCGTTCGCCGACGTCATGCCTACTTGTGCCAAAGATATCATTGCTGGATTACAACATCTGCACGACATGGATATTGCCCATCGCGACCTTAAACCAGGGAATGTTTTAGTGTCAAATCAACATTATATTGGCTGCTGTAATAGTGAGATCGATTTTGCCAACGCCTACGGCAAATGCCCTATTGTATGCAAACTTGCTGATTTTGGTTTGAGTCGGTCTCTCGATCTTCAAACAAAATCGTTTTTGATGTCAAAAACGGTATCAGTTTGTCGTGGCACACTAGCGTTCATGGCGCCAGAAATCCATCTACAGCACTTTTTTCAAGCCGGCCAGGAAGAACTCAAAAATGCTGATATCTGGTCTTTGGGCATGCTAATGTACACCTTGATCCAAACCTCAGTGGTCCTTATCGAAATGAATTTGAACAGCTCGGTGTAACCAATTCCGAAGAAGCGTTCAAGAATTACATGAAACGACAAAAGCTGCCTGAACATGATAGTAAATATGAAGCACTTAGAGTTACTGAGTGGTGGCAAATTGAACAGGCTTTCAAATCTTGTTGCACCTTCGATCCCACTTCTAGACCATCAGCATCCCACCTACTTGGCCTCTTCAATTGTACTCAGCCAGAGCAGTTATTTCAGCTTTATCCATTGTCGGTGAGTCAAGCAACAGCCCTCGAGCAGCATGATCATGAAGTTGCCATGGCAGTGAATTCCGCAAACAGTTTTGATCAGGGCGCTTCTATAGATGGCAGTGAAACCAACCCTGGTTTTGATGATATGGTCATGGACGTGGATCCTCCACTAAGTAATGGTGTAAATTGTTGTGCATTTCTCGCTCTTGGCGTGTGCGATCGTTTCGTTCAAAAGACTGACTCAGCTAAATATTCAGATACAACGTGTTCGTGGGATGTTTTAAAAGAAGCCGCAGAGAATGTAATAAATGATCTTCCCCGGCAAATATCTCAATTAAGAGACACGGATCGGTATTACGACGTGAGTGAAGCAAACGTGATCCTTGCCCATTCTGATCATCTGGCTTCAGAATACGATCTTTTCGAAGAATGCATATCAGGAAACTACGTGTTCTCTCATGGTTCTCGGGCAGAACTTGTTGAAGCACTAACAAGAAAGATCGCTTCGTCAAATGACGATATTTCCTTGCGAATAGGCGTGTACACTTGTTCTCCTTATATATTCACCATTGGAACATACAACGGTGCTCTGTTTCTCGTAGACACCCATCCTATATCAGAAGAGCTTGGAGGGAATCACAATGGCTTGATGATGGTAACGCCAGATTGTAGTGTTCATTCATGCGAGATGCTCGTGCAATGGATTCTAAAGAGACTCAAACTTTCGGGTGTAAAAGAAGATCAATATCAAAGTTTTTCTTGGGTCACTAAATGTCAACAACGAGGTAAGTAAATAGACTTTATGCATAATGACGTCACAAGGCTTGATTTCAGCGAGCTATGCTGGTCTTACCATTCACTATTCAACGCCCGGGAAAATTAAAAAAATTAAAAATGGCCACTAGCTATCGCAATTTTTCCGGGCGATGACTAATAAGAGCAACATTCCTCGCGGGCAGGGGCGGCGGAACAGGGGGGGGGCTAGGGGGGCTAAGGCCCCCCCCCAGAAAATTTGAATTTTTTTGAAAAAAAATTGATAATTAGGGAAAAATTTAGGTTATTTTTTGAAAATTTAGGTATAAGGGGACAAATTTGCAATATTTTGTTTAAAAAAAGTGTATTTCCGAAAATTTTTTTTGATATAAGTCCGAAAATTTTGTTTTCGTCCCTTCTTTTGTATATTGTACCCCTAAAGTGGTACACTGACCGGGGGGGAGGTCGCCGAAAACATTTAGCCCCCCCAGAACGAAATCTGTTCCGCCGCCGCTGCTCGCGGGCATAAAGCCTTGTGGTTTATGAGGTTTATTAATGTAGTACATAGCCATTTCTTGTCCGGGAAATAACCATAAACACGATAAAATGTTTCCAAGGGGCAACCCCCCGTTGTTTTTCACCAGCAGGGCAAAGGAGATAAAGAGACCTTTTGCAGCAACAAATTAATGGCGTGTTTTCCCACTTGTCAGGATGCGTTGTGAGCAATTTTAGTTTGACTTTTATACAGAAAACGCTAGAAATTCCGTCAAGGTTAAAAATAATGCAATCTTATGTTGGAGAACCCAGAAACCTGCCAATAATGACTACTACATTTTTCCAAAACATCTAAAAGTGCCCCTGCACAAAAATCTGACAGCGTTTCGTTATTTTTATTTTTCGTTGCCAACATTTTGTCAATTTCATGTTTTAAGAACAATTCCAGCACGTTTCTGAAATAAATGAAGAAATACCGCCAAACGGTATTCAAGACATCAACGATGAAATAGTACAAACCTACACTGATGTAAGTAACTTTAGTTAAACTATTGTCTCAGCTGGCTATGGGCCGTATTAGCTATTAACTTTGCTCATACACACGCGTAATACCGCACAACTTGTAACAAACCTGGAACAGGCTTGTATAGCAATGGTGTTACAACAATTTGTTAACATGGTGTGTTCGCACTACTTGTTCCCAGCTTGTTGACAAGTTATTGCAGGTCTGTAGCAGACTTAATTGCTACAATGTTTTTCATTATGTAGACTTATTACAAGGTTGTTACAACAACTTATGAGTTCTGCAATTCAACAACTTTGTAACAAGTTTAGCCAATTTGTCACAACCTGTTCGCTTACCAATGAAAAAATATGCATAATTTGTTTGTTAAGTGTAATCATGAAACCACTACCACCAATGTACGAAGATCAAACGAAACCTCAACGACCCAAGAATTGAAAGAACGAGAAGTGCACACGGGTAATTATTATTACTTATAAGGTACATTTCCCTTCCGAGTATATATACTATAATCCTATTTTCTTTTCTATCAATGTAAGTTGATATCAGAGACAGTGATTCTTCGCGCTCGAATGACTCAATTGGCATAGTGAAAATTGTTCAGAAGAAGCCATCGGTAATATTTGTTTTCCATGCAATTTTTAACGTTTATATACGGGTAGAAACCTTAATATTATATTAAGTATTATTTAATTTTTTACATTATTACAGGATATTGAGAGCAGAGGAATGCCACCAACCGATAACTGTAATTTAAGTAGCAACATAGAAAACAGGTAATTGTTACAGCGCTATTCAATCCTTTTACTGCGGATTCACTATTTTCAATTCTAAACACTTAATTTCAAGAACCATGTATATAACATCACGGCCGTCACCATAAAGAAAAATTAAACCCGGGATTCATTATACTCAGAGACGTAGCGTAGCATCTGGAGTTTGGGGGTAGGGGTGTCGGAGGATTTTAATCACCTCAAATTTGAATTTCAATGTCAAAAATTTACCTGAAGTTTAATAATTACAATAAAGCTTTTTGTGATTGACTTGGATAGTCATACTAATTTTCGGGAGAAAAAGGAGTCTGGGGTGCCCTCCCGGAAAATATTTACATTTTTTCAGCTCTAGAACTGCATTTCTGGCGTTTTCTAAAGCAACTTCGCAAACGAATAGGCAATTCCAGCTTTTAATTTTGTGCGTGCAGGGGATAATGGGAAGTAAGGTATTACATTGGTGATTATGCTGAAAAATAAAAATGGTGGCCGTGTAAACACGGAGTGATAGCTTATACTTGTAAATATTGTAATATTTCGGTAATGTTTCGGTAGTTTTTATTGAAATTTTTCAGCATAATCAACAATATAATACCTTACTTCCTCTCACCCCTGCAGGCATAAACTAAACATTTCACAGAAATAACGACTTTATTACGCAAATTTTACCTGAAAATCTCCGAAAATATTAACTTAAATTTTATCTGCAATTTGCCTGAGTTTCGCAGTTGGGTGTAGTTTACATCCCCACACCCCCGGTCTCTACGTCCCTGATAATTACGGTTACCTGATTAAATTTGGAGCTGCCTGACCCATGATTTGTGCAAATTACATGTTTGCAATATATTTGAAAGATTCTTAAAATAAATGCTATCAAGTTGGTTTAAATTATCTTTCCTTGATCGCTGGGAATATAACAATACTAATGTTCTTTGCAACTTGGATTCTAGTTCGCATGAAGAGCAGAGTTCGGATGAAGACCAGAGTTCGGATGAAGAACATAGTGATTTGGAAACTACGTTGTATAACGGTGATGCGTTGACCCCGTTTTCTCGTGGAAGAAAGAAGCATTCAGTCACCATGATTTAGTGAAAATACTTCTGCTTGAACATGAGTCGGAACGGTTATGCATCTCTCAACCAGTCAAAATTGCTCACAACGTCACGTTCCTCATCGATAACTCAAAGCTTAAAGCTCAAGGTGACATTAAATGTGACGATATGGGTTCCTGGAAGCGTACCGGAACACCGAAAAACAAATATAAAGTGAAACGAAACGAGGATGGAAGCGTAAAGGAAATCACTAACGTGACCGAAAGCCATTCTGAAGATCGAGATCTATATACTCTAAAGAGAATATACTACGTGAATAATTCCAGCAACGATGTCCGGAAAGTTATATGTACATTGTTAGGTAAGTTAGAAAAATATAAACTCCATTGCTCATAGTTTAGTGAGTATAGAATTTATTAGCCAAACTCCATTGTTGCAAGCAATGGCGTTCCGCTAATATAAGCAGATATAAATATACATTGATACGCGGATATAAATATGATTTTCATATTATTCTTTCAATTTAGATTACCGAGACAACGTGACCAAATACACACTCGTCCAGTACCTTTTTAAAGGTAATGAGCATGAAGTAGATGTTATTTTACCGCACGGAAACTCGAAGCAAAAGATACCATGCCATCGTATGTTGCCAAGTACAAGAGAAGCACTCAAACGCTCAGATCCGAAGGAAACACCAAAAGAAGTGATTGATAGAGTATACCGTTCTGTTGGAGATGTAACTCAAGCACGGAGTATAGGAGAACTGCCAAGAGGTCCAGCCGATATATATAATGCTAGATTTTCATCAAAGGCATCTAATCACAACAAAGTTGATGGAATTAACGGAATATGGGCCCTTCTCGAAAAAGCGAAACAGGAAGAAGGAATAAGCAGTGACGCTGTGTTCATCCGAGAATGTAGAGTGCATCCTGATTTTCTGGTCGTTCTAGCAAGTAATCGTCAGCTTGAAGATCTCAAACGATTTTGCACCAATCCAAATGATTTCTGCATCTTTGGCGCTGATCCCACATTCAACATCTTTGAAGAGAACATTAGTTTGACTGTTACCACCTACAGGAACTTAAAACTAAATCAGAAATCCACCAATAAACCACCAGTTTTTATCGGTCCATTGCTAATGCACCAGCACAAAGATTGGAAAACGTATTCCAGGTTCGCAAATCTTCTTACGACTGAATGTCCAGAACTTGAAGGCATGTTAGCATGCGGAACAGATGGGGAACGGGCTCTTATTGACGGACTGAAACGCAATTTTCGCTTCGCATTGTTTCTGAGATGTTTTAGTCATTTCAGAGACAATTTAAGAAGAGAGCTTACGAAAAGAGGTCTTCCATCAGATATCGCCAGAATCTTCATTTCCGAAATATTCGGCAAACAAGAAGCAACCACGATGTACCAGGGACTGGTTGATTGCAACACGGAGGAAGAATTTGATACAAAATTGTCCAGTTTGCAGAAAAAATGGGATGAAAGAGAATCGGAATATGGTCGACCGAGTGATGGCGGGTCCACCTTTTATGAGTGGTTTGTGAAAGAAAAGGTAGGTATATCAAATATCTCATTTTAAACATTAATGTTTATTTTTAAAATTATTTCGCCAATAAACTCGTAGATGGATCGTTTTTTAAACCACGATGCAACATTATTTCATCTTAAAAAAAGTGAAAAAATTAACTTTAATATTGTATGTCACACTTGTTCTTTTACACTCGGATAAAACGACATAATTAGTGTATGTAATTGTATGGGGCCGAGTAAAATTAAGGTTTAATTTCACTTGTATTTTCAAAGTTTTTTACCAATTTGTAAAACTTGGAAAACAAGTGAAAGGAAACCGAGCAGGGTGAAAAAAAAAGATTTCAAACAGTTATTATAAAACTCATATGCATTAGTATTCGGGCTTCATATAAAAGTCCATCAGTGTTCTTTATACAAAGATTAATAATGAAACGGCATCTATTGTAGTTGTTTTTGAAGCTATTCAAAACACTTGTTGACGTGTTTTATCATATCTAAAATGTTCGTGCTGCGCACTATGTATAGAGAGCCGTAACTAATCTGATAATTGGAGGGGCATATTAAATTTATTAATATATTCGTGTTCTGTCCGACGGATTTTTTGGATTTCTTTTGAAAGCGATTGTTTTGACAGTATGTGAACATGAATATATGAATATGTCCCCCCCCCCAATTATCGTGTTTACCTACGACCTTGACTACTTACCTGGCAGTCAGTGCTACTTACTGTTTAATAAACGAGCAGGAGATTTTCAAAATAGTTTAAAAAGTTAGATTTTCGAAAAAAGTTAAATTAGGTTTAGATTAAGGTTACCGTTGGGGTTAGGAGTTAATGTTATGGGTTTTGTGCCACAAATTTATCATAATGATAAATTCCGACGTGTTTAACAATTTACTCAGGTAGTAAATTCAAAGGTGGAGCTCATGCTGAATTGTGTGCATCGTTTTTAACGAGTAGAACGTTATACTACTAATAAAAAGTTAAAAAAGGTGTCGTCATAAAACTTATCAGTATCGGTTTATTGTTGTGTAGGCAAACGATGTCAAAACATCAATGTTGAAGCCGGTAAGAATGGAAGCTGGGCTGGGCGATCCTCCAAAAGAGTACTTAAATAATGACCCCGAATCGGCAAATTTTATTATAAAGCATTCGCTTCACTTCGATCCAAAGAAGCCACAAGAATTCATACAAGAGGTAAAAAAGATCGTTGAAACCCAATATCGTAATGAAGATCGTGCCGTATTTGGAAAAGGCATGTATAAAGTAAGTATACGTAACGACTATTATTATTATTATTATTATTATTATTATTATTATTATTATTATTATTATTATTATTATTATTATTATTATTATTATCATCATTATTTCCATATATTTTGTTCAATTTTAAGTGATGTTTTTTGCTTTAGTACAATTTAGCTGTAGGCTTTTAACGCTAATAGTCGTTGATAAGTATGAATATCATTACCTATTTTGTAATGCGACAGAAAATTGCAACGTTAGTGTCATTAGCGGAACAAACGAGGCAAACTAAATTCTGGGCGTATATGTTTATCTAACTTGTTTTGGTTTTCGGAACGATATGAAGCGGAACGTTTAGTGCCGTCATTTTTGGGGGAACAAAAACTCTGTTCCTTTTATAAAGGAACAAACTAAAGCGGAACAGCTCATTCCTTTTTACACTTTAGGAACTATTCGTTCCGTTGCACGAGAAAGGAACGAAAACGCGTTCCTATTTTCGGAACTAAAGTTTTAAGTTGCAATATAACGCGAGATAGGAACAAGCATATACGTTCCTATTTTCGGAACTAAACCCAAAAGTTTTGCCCAATAATTAGCATGCAACCTTTCCTCAGCAAAGTCAGTTTTCGATTATTTGATCGGTATTGTATGAAGATATTTCAATCGATGTCGATACTAACTATTATAACATAGTGAAGAACAGTAATATATTGTGTTGTTCTCCATGAAGTATATTATATATTGACGAGAATTGCACTGTTGTATATGAAAGAGATTATACCTTAAATGGATTTGCGGTTTGTGAAAACTTTATGCTTCAACATGATTTATATATAAATTAGACTGATCAACTATTTTCAAAGCAAACATATTATACGTATTACGGTCGCAGGAATAGAAAATAAGGCAACCGAGAATGCATTTAGTTTTGCGTGGAATCGTTTAAGAAAGAAAGAAATAAGGAATATAAAACTTCACAAATTTTATTCAACTATTCACAGAGCAAATTTAAATTTACAAGGTACATGAGTGAAATACACTAGATAAGTTTTTGTTGAATTGCACGAAGTCTAAGTGTCCTAGCTTCTCTACCAGGTTGAAAGTTATATTCTGGATGTCGTAGGATTGTGCACCATCGTGCACCAAATCTTTTAATTCCCCTTTCTATAAATTGATCCTCTTCTTTCGTGAATCTCAGGGGTTTGCGTTTCTCGGCAGAAACCTTTTCTGTCGTTG